TATCTTGTGTATCTGCGAAGGTTTTCGCTTTGTAACGTATACCTGTTGCTATTTTCGGACTTTTATTCCGGACCTACCACAACACCTACCCACCTTTACCCGTCAAACAGGGCGTGACGTTCGCACCGGCAGCGGAAGTTTAAACCTCGTGGGCGTTCGAGGGAATGAGAAGAGACCGTTCGAGTCTCCATAGTGACCATGATTTTATCCTGTGACGTCACGAATCACGAAGAAACATGTGGCACAAGCGACACCCACGAGAATTTTTCCGAGAGATTTTCATTGCGTCATCACTGCACATGCACGCGGCGCCCGCGCATGCATATATATATGCGTCTCAATAACGTCATTAAGATCCTTCGACATTTCCGACATGACGTCACGTGTTACATGCGATTTTATGCACGTAGGTATATCGATTTCTTAAGTGGCTCCAGTACAGATGCCGATATACAAGATGCTGCGTAAATTCTGTGTATGTAAATATTTATGTTTAAATTGATAATAAATCATATTTTTTGACAAAATATTCTTGCATATATGTTTTTATATAAAAATTTAAGAAGCAGTATTAAATCTTGATACTTTTTAACGTCACATGCAGAAAAATATGTTTTATAAGAAGAAATAATATAATTATACTAAAAAACTAATTATATACTAAAAAAGCTTTGTGTAAATTATTAATAGATATATATATATATTTCTAAATCTTATTTTTTGTTATTTCTGCTATTTTAAAATAAATACATATATATATATATTTCTAAATCTTATTTTTTGTTATTTCTGCTATTTTAAAATATTTCTGCTTTCTCTCATTCTCTAACAAATTCTTTTATCGATTATCGAGAAGCCAATTATATTGGGAAGAATTTTTAATACTAAGGGTGAGATTTCATTTGTGTGTTATTGCCGTACGACGAATTTTTCAAGCCTGATGATTGGCTATAGGATAGAGAGATCCGAGGACCTCTCTATCCTGCACACATTTGTCGTACGACAAAAACGCCCAAATGAAATCCCATCCTAATAATCGACGCTATCAATATTAGTTTGTAGTCTATCATGATTTATTTAGTATCATCGATATTAACGAAATAATGTACGCATAACGAGCTAATTATTCTTGAAGAATTTTCCGCCTGACGTCATAAGCAAATAAGTGGCAGCACGTGCCGCACGGCAACAATCTGGCAGCGTGAAGCGTTTTACGATATATCACGACATTTTTATGATGCCAAACAGCCTGCGCAAGCCGTCTGCCTCCAAAATCAGTCGGCGACTGAAATTTTACGAGCCGGAATGTATTCCGGAAAACGTAAGTTAGTATCGTGCGGACGTTGCCGGCGCCGAATCGATCCGGCGTTTACCTTTCTATTAAATACATGTATGCGTGTATGTATGTATGTATGTATGTATGTATGTATGTATGTATGTATGTATGTATATACATACGTACAACCAACAGCCAAAGAGAAGCGCTTCTACGAATTTTATTTATGGGTTTTTTTAGTTAATCCAATATCCAATGTGTTTAAGAAAAACTTAATGAAAAATTTTAAACGCTTTCTTTCCAATTACTTTTTAACATTCAGTATTTTAGTAACTGTCTTATGCTTATATTTATATATACACTCAACACTGCAAGAAGGAACTGTTTAATGTTAGAAAAAAAAAGTGAAATCTCATCGATAAAAGTAGATAAATATTCTCACAGTAAACCGTCCCGTATTTCTACCTGCTTATTGGAAAGACTGATAAAATATTTTCGTAATAGCTATACGAGCAGGGTTTCTACTGTTTCTAGTAAGTATTCAACACGTTTCTAACGACTATTAATATGTGTGTGTTTCTAACGTCTGTTAATATGTGTGTGTGTTTCTATAGATATAAATAAGATAAAATTTTCTCCGTATTCAAGGATATTCACGTGTCACGAGAGATCTGGGAGAGACGAGAGAGAAGGAAATATTCTTCATCAGTTTAATGGAATTAATATGTAACCAGCTTCTAACATGAACTGAACTGTGGAACTATCTAATATTGATCAAATATTAAATTATTTAGGATCTTGGCACAAATCGAAGAAAATATGATATAAATTTGGAACAAAATTTCTCAGTATTTATTTAGTTACTTGGAATATTTGTTTCCAAGGAAAAATCATTCCAAATATTTTTCTGATTATTTTAAGGTTTGGAAAAACACGTCTTGTATTGCATGTATATAATATGATTCGATTCATACGCAATCGTTTGTTCGTAACGACGCATTTCGCATATGTATGTGTGTATATTGTGTGTTGAACAAAGCTAGGTCATTGATGGAGGTCAAATTTTATATGAGCTAAGGCTTTATGTATACGCACTATCTTGTCCGATCTTGTCCGAGCGATCGATTTCTCTGTAAGTCTGTAGGACGCTGTTTAATCTGCCGATTTCGCGATGTTACCGTCGTGATATCGCGAGCGAGTTCTCGAAAAGCGCGATTGCATCCGCAAATATACATAGTTGTGTGACGACGTGACAGGAATCGGAAATTTACATCAAGTAATTGGACTGCATACTGACGACATCTGACGAGCATTTCAAGTACTCGAAGTACTCGAACAAAATGATACCGAGAGACAATGCGATGATCATCGATTGCGCGCTTTGTCATAACATTTTTCACTTTTTATTCGTGTTGTATATTTCACCATGTTTTTCAATTTATTTTTGTTTTATACTCAGTTATTTAAAATATATGAATTTTAAAGCTTATTTTTCGCACGTAAATAAAAAACATTAAATTTACATTAGATATATACTGCTATTTAATTCATATAGAATTTAAATTCAATATTTTTAAAATTCATAAGATGTGGCGATTTACTCTTATTCGCAGTTTTTTCAAGAATGCTAGAGAAAAAGAATACTATTATACGTCCTACAATATAACATAAGGAGTATTTGATAATCGTATGCTCGAAATGAATCAAACGTACTCACCGATCGATTGTCGAATCATTACCTGTCGGTTGTTCTATTGTCTGTCGACTCCATTAGAAAAATTCTCCCGATTATGATACTCCGCAGTCAACAAAATAAAATATAATGCCCGCCGCACTTCCGATACTTGCGCGCGATGCGTTAAATTTCAGAGCGAATAAGAAACAAGGTTAGACTAATGGTGTAACTGTAGCAAGAACTAATTTCAGTTGAACAGGTTTTCTGTTCGCTAATCGTATTATCTTCGGCATTTGTGAGTCGTTTCAATCATAAATCAATCGAAAAAACAATCCTGATCGATCCGAACGTCACTCGTTAACGTACGACTCCATGGTCGCCATGATCGTTAATTTAAATGGTACTTTTGACGCGCAAACGCGATCGCACTTTAAGCCCGATCTATATAAGACGCAGAATGCGAGTCGCGGATCGCAAGCGTCAGCCAATCCGATACGTCAATTTTAAAAGTGACTTCGTGATTGGCTGACGCAACAAACTTTCGTATTATACACGGAGAAAATTTTATATTTAACCCTTAAGGTGCCTTTTCACGCTGACGCTCGACGCTTATTTTCAGCGTCAAAACAGGTCACATGATCAAAATTGACGAATACCAAGCGTCAATTTTGATCACGTGACCTGTTTTGACGCTGAA